CAATCCAGAAATATATATTTTATGGATTAAATATATGTCGTATCCCTCCGTGTTTTATAATCTTCCTTGATTCGTGATGTTTTGATAATGCGCTACAGGCGATAAAGGTTGAACAATCGGTTTAAGTTTTTATTGTCCTTTATGTATTTTAATGGATTGTTCCCTGCTGTCGTGTAACTCCACTGGGAGCAAAGGTGGTAATACTAGAGCGGAGATACGTATATATAAATGCAGAATAATAGTAATACGGGATATAAAGAGAAACCCTAGTAGTTGCGGTTTTATATTTAGAATGTAGAGTCCTAAATAGAGCTCATATTGCCATTAACTAAGAAGACCGATACTGGCATTTCTGTCGAACAATTTTTACCATTTTCCAGAGTAACTCTGAAGAGTGTAGATCTGGCAGGTCCGTGGTGTCCGTGCTCTGGCGGGTCAGGACCGGGCACTGGACATCTGAACTGTTATGTATATACACACCTACCTGTGTGGGAAGGTTAACTTAATACTTTTAGGAGGATGTATATATGTCAGCCCAAGTCCAACCACGCCGAGCATGCTAAACATTGCCCTAACAGACATTTCTCTACTGTGTAGAGTCAAGAAGGGGGAAAAGTACAGAAGAGAGGGATTCTTAACTCACCTTAAAAGCCCGGGTCCCTGATGTAGCAAGCCCCCATAAAATGACCAACCTACCTCCCGCCTCTAGTATTTGATGAATAATGCAAGCCCCGGCGCCAATAACGTTGTTGGTTTTTGTTAATCGGAAATAACAGGGGGATGCCTTGTGAAGGTTGATAACCTAAAGTTCCAGGTACTCTGGTACTAACAACTGTATCTCTTTTTCAAAAGAAGGCCCACAGAGCACTCTTTAAAGTCTGCATGTCCTCCTGCCTACCCCGGGACTCCGCTATATCTTGGTATCATAGAAGATAGCGGGAAACCGCAACATCTTCAGAATACCAGCAGCCCAAGAGAATGTTCCTTGATTGTTCTAAGGTCGCTAGCGTTGCAACATACAACCATTGATAAGATTTCGCAGCGGAACAGCCATGAGAATGACGTCTATGAGATTTTTTTCATTTAGCATGATCAGAAAACCAATAAAAAGTACAGAAGTACGAATAATATTTTTTACATACTTCCTGTTCATATTTACAAAATTAAGCCTCTATTTTTGTGACGGATGCCGTTGCAGTCTGCCGAAATGTATCTCTGTTTGGCATGAAATGAAAGTCTGGTGTAAAAAACGTTGCCGGAGAACTAAAAACGACGATAAAAAGCACTAGCTTTTAAACTTACCTTTAAAATAGTCGACTTGTTACAAAGTTTTTACAAACACGCGTGCATAACCTCCGCATTACTGCTACACATGAAAGACGCTGACTCGAAATAGCTTCTATCTTCAACTTCGACGACTTAGTCAGATTTCACCGCGGGGAGCGTCGTAAAAAAGCTTTGCACACAAAATTCAGCATCTCTTTAATTGTATGGGTAGGCGACAAGATTACAGCTTTTTCATGATGCTTAACGACATCCCTTTTGTTAATGGGCACCTCGACTTCCTACTCTCATTACATGCAGGTTGGCAGGAGGCAGAGAGGGCACTGATGGTGGGGAATTATGCCCTATTAATGGTTATCTAATTGTCACTACCATGTTTTTAAGTGACATTCGTTGCCTGTTTTCCGCTTGGTAACCTTGTGTCGAAATCTCTATCTCATAATATCAGATCAAGGCAAGGTACGGTGTAATAAGAGTTGGTGACACGACCGGATTTTCTCCAATCCGCCAGTGCTAGGACGGGCGACTTCTATTACATACTATCGCTCTGAGGTCACTTATAGGTAGACTATCCACTTTTGAAAACGTCCTAAAGTCAGTTTCTATGTCTTCATATCGTGCAAACCTCATTTTCTATCTCAATTCAGATCTTAAGACTGGAGAGAAGGCATGTCGCTTTAAACTTTTTGGGAAACATTTAGAGTTGAATTATCTAATTAAAGATGGTGTAAAACATCGAAGTCGAGAAAAGACTTGTGAGTTGAAGAAAATTACTTCTTTTTTTCAAGGAAAGTTTAATTTGGTGGGAAAATCGAGGATAGGATACCGCTTATAGCTAACCTAAAGAAAATACCTGCTTTGGGTTGATTCGCGTCCAAAATCTGGCCTAATTATTCTAATCTAATTAGTTTTTGATATCGCTCTCAGCACGTGTTATTCACCTTTTAACAAACGGAACGGAATACTTATTAAGACGGCAATACATCCGCGTGAGTTCAGTCAAATCCCCGTAAGAACGCGTTTTTCCTCTTAACTCCCACTGTTATGTTTTATTGATGTTGACTCAATTGCTTATAATTCTGCCTACTAATGCAATTCAAATTTTGTAGATATATAAAGACTATTCTAATTGTTCCAGCAAACGGAAAAGTCATTAAATTGATTGCATATCCCCACTTTGTTGTTTTTCGCCCATTGACCTGGAAAAAAACGCTGAATTGTTGATCCAACTTCTCACGGCTCTGACTAAATATACAATTCTAATTTATGTAGATATCTTTCGATTGGATTGTTCTTAGTAAGATAATCGGCTGATGGGGCTGAACTTGATATCGGCGCCCTCACCCAAGCTAAGGAGCGGTGTTACCTGTGTCACGTGACGCTGGTTAAACAGGTGAAGGACTCCAAGTCACTCCTTTAAAACAAGGATATAATCTTAAAATAATTAAAAAAAGGTAATACTTTGCAACCAGATATTTTCCTTGCGTCATCCTGTTCATTTCTATGCATTATAACGCCTGGTTGTTCCTTTACCAAGACACAGACCTATTAAGATAGCGTTTCAATGATCTAATTATTGCCTTTAGGTGGCTTCGTGGCACGTAATGTTAACGTTATTTTGCACGTTGTTTAACAGCGTTGTTATGCGCGTTTCAGCTAATGGGTTAGTAAAGGCACTGAAAGAGCAAACAGGCTCCATCTCCATTCTTATGCTGCAGACGACCGTAATGTTGCAAATTTAGCAGAATAAGTTGTGAATTGATCACAGAACAGAACATGGCTCGTTTATCATAATATGTTATCGGATTTCAAATCTGACGCAAGAGAAAAAACAAACGTTGCGATGTTTTCAACACAAATACACTTGAACCGTTATAATCCTCTCTCTTTCTCTCTCTCTCTCTCTCTCTCTCTCTCTCTCTCACACACACACACACACACACACACACACACTCAAAAGTCGCAAGAATAAATTTTATTATTATTATTATTATTATTATTAATGTTATCATTATTATCATTAGGATGTAAAGCTAGGTATGGTAAAATAGTGAAAACCTCATCCCGTGACCCGTAATCAACCTAGTTCACGTGAAGGAAACTACCCACGTGCCTTACTTCGAAAGCAAGGGTGAAAAAAAAGCTACAAAAAACTTATCTTGCCAATTTACCTACAAGGGTAGAATGGCACCCATGGACAGCAGGCCGCGTAATAGAAATCATCACAGATATTCACACTGTAATAATATCCTTTGTAACGTAACGGCGCAGCGGGGCATCTTCTTTCTTGTGGTTTTTATCCATAAACAAGAATTTTCAGAATGTTTTAGCAATTGTGGTTTCTAGTACAGTCACTTTTAGCAGCGTTCACACCACGGTGCCTTAGATCGAATCTGATTCGATCTCCTTAGCGTCAGCAGTCCGACATCTGACCCATCACTTTCTCGCATAATATTTCGTAAACTTTTAACTTCTGCTTTAGCATAAAACGAGAAGAAACTGGGTGAGCCACAATATTAGAATACAATCGGGAATGCTTGCGTCATAAGGATCGAATCAGAATCGGTCTATCGGGATCTAATGAGAACTTTGACTCTACTCAAACAGTTGGCGCGCGTCTCGCCGCGGAGTGTTAATACGATGGAAGTAGATTACAAGAAACGCTGAATGAAACGCGACGGGGTGGTAATCAGAACACGATGGGGACCTACCACGTCAAAGTCGACACTATGGTGCTTTTACTGATTTGACAGCAGTTATTGATAATCATGCTATGAATTGTTCCCACTACAAATGCCTTTCTTGTCTCATAACGCTCTCTGGGGCAACGGGTGCGGGCGGCAGAGGCGGCTATGTGAGCCTTTGCGGTATTCCTGCTATCTGAAGATCAGCGAGCAAGGGTCAAGGAAATGTGTTTAAGCCTACTTGTACGAGGGGAATGCCAAAAAAATTCGCTCTTTTAACGCCCTGCCTCGCTATCTTAGACTTAGGTTTCACTGGAGTCAGTTCAGGTAAATTGCTACTGCTCAAAGATAAACGACTCCCGCAAAGGATTAGTGATAATTTCTCTATCTTTCTCTAGCTTAACACATCCAGAAAGCTGAAAGGAGGAGGCACATCTGGTCGTGGTGGAGCTCTTGTGAATGCGACAGTTGAGACAACAATTGCGCCAGAGATGCCGCCACTGATAGGCTTTATCTTATGGATTATCCCGACGCATTATCAGTTAATCATTGTTAATTCGGTGGCATTGAAGGAAGTAAGGCCTTGAGCGCGTGATGTGTAGACTGAACATTTTAAACAGGTTATCAATGGTAAAATTTTAGTTAAAGCTGTAATGTATCGATTTATGGTCAGTTATCATTAATAAAGATTAGGAGTTGCCCTATCAACCCGGTGACTAAACTTTAACGATAAGAATGCAGAATTACATGAAAAGGAACACGTACATTACAATACCGAGAAATTGAATTACGTGACTTAATTAACAGGGGATTGCCCTTTAGCGCACCGTAATAAAAGGTAGACAAAAAAGATGTCGACAGAGTAAGTAAAAAGTAAAGATGCGTGCTTTATGACAAGTTTGAATGTGTTGAGCAGCACATAAAATGAACATAAGAATCTTAATATTACACCACACACATATATACAGCTCACCACTTAACGCTTAATAAACCATTATCTCCCAGACAGTCACAGTGTCAACGAGTACGTACCTCTGCTGAAGCAAGTCTCCGTGCGTTTGAACCGTAATTTAAGAGGTAGGAGGCGGATTTCGTCTTCTCTTCAATCCCGATTGCACTCGTCTGGAGCACCTGTCAGACGAGCCAATTTGTCACTGTCTTCAGTAATATCTCGTCGTCAGTACAATAAAGGGTGGAAACGTAACGAGTAAGTTAGACTGGATGACGAGTGACTTCAACAATTTATACAATGTACTTCTGAACACGTCCCTTTTCCCGATGGGCTTTCTCACAGTTATCTATCCTAATTTCTGGACTAGTCAAGAGTCCCTTTAAGTAGTTCTTTTGTTCTTACGAAGTAAACAACAGGTTCTTGTATTCACCTTTTGAGGACACCGCGATCTGCTGCCCGGTGGCTACGTGTCGCACCTGTGATTGCTTAAAATATATTTGTATCCTAAAGGACGTGCACGGATCACCTTCCTAATGTCTCGTTAACTAGTTAAGTCCCAATTTATGTATGCCGGCGTCCGCTCTACTCAACTTGGGTACTCCGGACTTTTTACAGTGCACTAACCCGGCTCTTTGTGCGTACGTAGTGGCTTGATCGGCTGATGTATGCTTAGTTTTTGAGACGTCAAAGTTCAGTCCAGCAAAGTTAGCGAGTCAATCTATATATAGTATTTTCAGGTCTCTAAGATGACTCACTCACAAGGGGGGTGACAACTGGCTTATTCAGGATTCTGAAGAGAGAAATCAACCTCGAATAAAAAGATAGAGCTCTACACAACAATCCTGATTAATGAACTTCCGACAATCTTACCGGAGACCTGCCAGATTAAGTCCGCACTACTTAACACGCCTCAAGAACACTCGGATCCTAGATCGTGTAAACGCATGTAAATCTTCGTTAAACGTTAGCCAGAATGATTTGCAGTTTTCAAATTATTTCTCGAAATAATCACGTCTAATATCACGTTCCTCTCAAACCACTTTTCATTGAACAAATCCGACTGTTATTTCACCAGACAGCCACTTAGCTAAGACGCTCGGACAAACTGGCAGGCGAAGAGAGAGGAGATCCGATGCGTTGCAGAGGCAGAAATAGTTATGTGCACCAAACTCTCCTGATCTGGTTTTTCAAACGAAGCTCAGCTCGTGAGAGAGTCCAATTATCTTTCATTTCATCTCATTTTTGCAATCCAAGCCCCTTGGACTTTAACAATAGCTGATTGAGAGCGGCAGGGAACCTGTGAATCGGAGGTAGCTATCTAATCTCTCGAGTTATAAAAAGTAATACTTTGAAAGGTCCCAGTATCGGGTTGCCGAACAGACGTCAGGCTAAATGGGCTGCGGCAACCTTACTCAATTAAAAATTGTTCCGCAACCTTCATCAGTTCCGGACCGATATAAATTGGGTAATTGATCCCCGCATCTCAACTTATTATAGAAATTTGGCTATATGTTGAGCCCCGTACAGGACCCGGATTGTTTGTAAGCCGTCAAGCACTGCTGGTCGGTATAAAGTGCGAAATGCGTTACTTGAGCTCTAGCATACAGAATTGATCATAACCTTACGAAAACAGATGATCTATTATAATATCAAACAAAGGATGGGGGAATAGGTAATTTCATACATCCAAAAAGGTGTTGAAGTGTTTCCTCTCCCCGTGAGAGGTTGTGACGTAAATGTGATGTGCACACCTTTCGATGTTTGATTTTTAAAGAAAGTTTTCAGTAAGTTGAATACAACATTAGTTAAGTTAAAGAGACCACCTTATTCGAATGCACTGGCCAAAAAATAACGTTACTCGGGAACGAAAATAAACCGGGATTGGTGTTCTGTTGGTACACCTTGAAGAACCTTGAAAAAACGGTTCACTCGAGCTCCCTCTTCCTTCCAAGCCAGTTGCTGGGATATTTAAATGGTTTAAAAACAAACAAAGCCAAATACTTCTTTGTTCAGTAAAAATGATGCCGCAATTACCCTATATACGTTACCCAAAATAGTCGTATTCGGGTATAAAGTAAGCCAAGCCTGGCGCTATGTTTGTAAACATCGTAGACCTTTCCAGAGAACGCACTGCTACGTCAACAACGCCGACTATTTACGCATCTCATCAATAGTTACTTAAACCCAGTTAATCTCTACTTGACATTCCTCTACTGGTCGATATCAACAGTGAAAACAATATCTGCCAAGTTTGGTATGGGGCCCTTTGCCATTGTGCACTGACACCAAAGTTTACTCAAGATTAAAAATCCACATATTTTTTTTTCAATAACGCAGTCTGAGCACCTTACGTTTCAGCAAATGTGATCGTTGTTAAATGGCTGTGGTAAGCGTACGCCAGGGGATGGAGGGGGGGGGGGGAAGGCAGTGTCACAGTTCTGAGACTCGGCGTGTGATCTTTTCAGCTGTTATAATGAGATTTTTTAGCAAAAACTAGCGTACTTTACTGATTCATAAATACTAACCAAAATGAAAAAAAGTATTGAACAATAGTAAGCCAGTCAGAGAGTTGCTCTCGCATTACTGAACAGACGGGTTTACAGCTTCATCATAAAAAATTAATTTAAAATCTTATAATCGCTTCTATCATCGATCTGCTTGCGAGACCCGCATAAAGCTGTCACCAGAAAAACCACCCAGGCGCTGATATGATACAGTTTTTCAATCTTTTTTTTTTTCGGTCCCTAATCCCTAATTTCTTTTTAACTACCTGTACTACTATTTTCTCAGCCTGTAGTGTTCAGTGACTGTGGCCCGTATCTCCGTCCCTGCCCTCTCAACACTTGCCAATTTTCATGGTTATGATCAAAAGAAGTGAAAATGTTTGCCCTGACGTCTCTCTCGCTAAGTGCGGTGTGAATAATCACAGCTCTGAGGTCAGATATAATGCTCCATAACCGCAGAGTGGTCCGATCTCGTCACACTCGTTTCATTATGTCAGGTTAGATCACTTTCAAATACCATTTTTTGTCTGTCAGTGCTGATGATATGTGGTAGGAGTCCGGTGCTAATAGCTTAATTAAATGTTCTGATGGTGTAATGAATATGTACCTTTCAGGTTCAGCCGCTTAAACCTTTGACACTTTTCGTCTAAAGGGTTTCCAGGATTTAGCGTGTGCGTGCGTGAATGATTGTGCATGCTTATATGTGCCCGTGAGATTATGGGAGGTGCGGTGTTTCTGTGTGCGCGCGTGCATGTGCGTGCATGTGGGTTTGCATGTGTGCCTGTGCATGTGAGTGCTCCCATTAAGCAAACAAAAGTGTCAATCTTTATAACATACAGTGTACATTAGAATATTTTCGCTATTTTTCTGTCTTATTTACATAAATACAATCGCTTTCCGTTGGTATGTTACATGATATCAACGCAAAGATCGTGATGTCTTACTCACCCCCGTCATCCTTCACATCATCACAGCACGGGGTCTGCTACATCAAATAAAGTCACCGGTACCCGTTCCCCATAGTCGACACCTAAGACACTGCTAAAAAGAAGTCTATGATCTACTGCTTTCTTGATTTATTGCTTGATGCTACCAAGTACCAGTGACAATGAAATCACCACATTTAAACTCTATAACACGAACATTGCTGAAAAGGTTATCACTTCTTTCATTGTAACCAGGCCCACCTAAAAATCCAAGATCCTGCGTTAAAAGGCCCGTTTACACACTACAAAGTGTTTCACTTGGGGGCAATCCTGGTTCCCACTGCCTTTACTTAATAAATGGAATGATAAATCCTTAAGTTAATTCGTCTAAATGCTATTTTCGACTTTTTATCGCAAATATTACTGGTCCATTATCATATTGGAAAGACGGGCTTTAGGGATTTTGAGGTAAAGTTTTGGTGTTTTAGCCTTTATTTCTTTACTTTTGTTGGTTGGTATTAGACGACTAACCACCAATAATCCATGCTAGAGCCTTTTGTCACTGTGAAATTGCTAAGTGATATAAATAACAAGTGTTACTACGTTTGAACAAAGCTCGGTATTATTGGTTTGATGGGTTTTGCTACTCACATATAGCTGGTTTTATCACGAAGTGAAAACATCTACAATAATCTTTCGAGATTTTGTTTCAAATTATTAGAAGAGTAAACAGACGAAAGATATAATGAAACAGAACGCCAGTTATGAAATCAAAGGTTTAAAAATGAATTTTTGAGAGGAAAGGGAGGTGCAGCATGCGACCTTTCCACCTCTATAAGAACCCAACACAATGGAAAACCATCAATAAATAAATTAATAGACTTATTTTTATCCCCACACATTGAAACTTCTAAGACATATACATAGTCAATGATAATGTAGCTTTAAAAATCCACCTACATTAAGAGTGCGTCTTCATTCCAGTCCACCGTCTACACCCACGACTGCTATACTTGTACCTGGAGATGTTTTATTCAGGGAGATTAGTTTAAAGTGAAACGGATATTACAAGGTCTGACGCACTCAATTAACTGGGTTTTTTCTCTCGAAATTCTTTATCAGAAGGATTAAACAACGTGGATTCAAATTCATCAGTTTTTAGAAGCGACCACTGTATGTAAGGTGGGGTCGCATTATTATTTTTAAATTAGGTAAACCAGCGTTAACGTTTTATTTCTTATCAAATGCAGAGGTTTCAAAAGTAATTTTTTTCTGGCTCAAATTAGTAAAGGTGTGTTCAAGTGAGTCATTAGCTATTTTCACGGCTAATCTCGTTTTAGAATCTAAATCAAATTTTAACTTACAGGTACGTCTTGTTCAATTTCCAATTTTTTGCCAGTATGGTAGACCCCCCTCTCCCATCTCAATCTAATTTTGAATTATTGAAAAGCCACCACACGTTCGTAAAGCCCTCGACAAGCTTGCTGACTGGCAATTCCACTGAACCCTAGAGATACACAGCAACAGAGATAGACATGCAAATATAAAATGTCGGGAAACAAAACCTGACCAAAGCACTGCCATGGAATATTGTAGATAAGAATGAAAAATACGAGAATCAGACACGTTTTGAGAAGTGGTCTATGAAAAAGTTCAAATCCACAAATGCACAAACCCCAGCAACTGATAATACATTCAAGATCATTGGCAGCCTTTTTTCTTTTCCAAGAAGCCTGTAAGGAAATATTTTTAAGTTGGGGAGTGCTCTTCGTATGAAAAAATAAGGAAGAAAAAAACGGTTACGGTAAAAATATAATAGGTCTGAAACTCCTCCCTCTAAGTTATGTCTGCTCTATGATAAATTAATAGTATACTCCAGTATGCGAAGGCCAAGTGTCCTCGGGATTTCTACAAACGTATACACTATATATGAAGTATATAATTGTCAAAAATGGCTCTCTATAGACACACTGTTTTTTTAATTGCATCTCTGTCACTCTATCTCGAAGTCGACAAGACAAGTTTTATAACGTAAAATGTATTCGTTCCACTCGCAATTCATATCAACAACAAAGAATGGGGCGGGTTTCAGTTTCAGACTATTTCAATTTAACGAATGACAATGATATAGTAAGAAGTTAATGTAGTCCCACTACAGAGAGACAGTTCATTTGTACTTGAACACAGCCCCTCATTGATAATGCACAATCTATTTCTGACAGCTATTGCTTTTTTAAAACCGGTTTTCTTTAATTTAGACCCACAAAATAAATACAGATGAATGAGTTATCGCAATAAATCTAGCTTGTCAACTCGATTTTAATTCGGGTGAAAAGCAAAGTCAATAAAACTTGATACCATCTGATGGAATCACTGGCTGGGTTGGTATCGCTATTTTAGAGTGAAATCGACTAAAAACTTATCCACAAAGGAGACTGTGTTTAAGGCTCTCCGTTTACTGCTCTCCCTACCACAGTGACTGGCAATACAGTGTCATGTTTCCGTAAAAGTTGAATGATTCCACAACAGGTATAAATACATGGGGATAAACGAAGGTGAAGCTCCTTGTGGTGAGGACAGAAGAGCGCTGTTGAAAGTTACAGGAAAACTTACACCTTCATACGTCAAACGTGAATGACAGTAAGTGTGACGTGCACAAGCGTTTCAAAGTGCCACAAAAACCATACAAAGGGCTACTCTTGTCTAAAGCTAAAACCCCCATTGTCC